TGTGGATACTGGCTGTACCAACCATGCCACGGGCAATTCAGCCCACTTTGTTGACCTCAAACAAGGAGACTATGGAACCTGCGGTGGAGTTGGCGGTGCCGTCAAATTTGAAGGCATAGGCACGGTACATATCCCGATTCACGGTGCCGATGGCAAACCTACGGTCCTACGGCTCTCGGATGTCAAATACTGTCCGTCTATGGGAGCTTTCAACTTGATTTCAGTCTCACAGCTATTCCAGCGGGGACTCACTCCCACCATAACGAAAGACGCCATCTCCTGGGCCGTCGGCCGTCACAAGGTGGCTGCTAGCCACTCAAACGGTCTATGGCTTCTCAACCGTGCCAAATGACTACCCGGCCACCAGCCAGGTATTGCACTTATAGCAAAATCATCCCGACTACTGCCATCTCCAGGTCACCGTCCTACTTCTTCTTCGGACGGTCCTACTATAGGCATTTCAACTGCTTTACCGAAATTCTCTCGGTCACTAGTTCCCTCGCCTCACTCTCACTTGGGTCACCGTCCCCCTCTTCACTCGGACCGTACCCCGCGGACCCTTCTGCCTGTTATCGCAGAACCGTCCGTTCGCGCCTTTCCATACTGCGGTCTAGCGCTCCGTCCTCCCCTTACGGCCATCGCCCTCCCAGCTGTCCAATCATATCCGTCGCCCACTAAGCGCCCTAAGCATGCCTCCCAGTCCTACCAAATCGCCCGGAATCGTCTTCTGTGGCATAATCGGCTAGGGCACCTCGGCGCTCAAGGCCTTAGCAAGGTCGCGGCAACTACGGATGAAATCGACTTCCGGGAGGTCCAGCCGAAGGATTCCTGTGTTTGTGAAACCTGTCTTACTCAGAAAGGTAAACGCCGCTCGCATACTCATCACATCATTCCAGGGGAGCATCCCATGGCCCTTATCCACTCAGACGTCGTCGGTCCGGTGCCCGTGAAAGGCTATGAAGGCTCACGGTACTTTGTGACATTTGAATGCGATAAAACCAAGATGGCTGCCGTGTACTGCATGAAAGCTAAGCGAGAAGTTACGGACTGTTTTATCCACTTCCAGAAGCATTTTGAACGCCCCGACCTAGGCTGGACTATACGGCGGTTACATGATGATAATGGTGGTGAATACATTGCTGGGCGTCTCCAGCGACATTTGTTTCAGCATGGCGTCCTATGGGAATCAACTGAACCATATACGCCCCAAATGAATGGTCCATCCGAACGCCTCGGCCAAACGATCTGGCGAAAAGCCGCTCCACTTCTCAAGTTAGCTGGCCTGCCACTCCAATACTGGCCTGAAGCCGTAAAACACGCTGGCTACCTCTATATGCGCAGTATTCACTCCGTCATTCGCAAATCACCATTTGAAGCCTGGTACGGACGTGTACCACGTTACTCACACATTAATGTCTTTGGTTCTATCATCTATTACCACAACCCGGGCAAGAAAAAGAAGCTACGGGATGAAATGACGCGTGGGATCCTAATCGGCTATGAGGGAGATACAATTTGCCGTATTCTCAAACCGGACGGCCGTATCGCACGCGGTGCGGCCGTAAAAGCGATTGAACGCATGCTATGGGAACAATTTGATGAGAAAGACAAGGAAACGGTCCATAACTTACCACTTGACCACTTCTCGGATCTAACCCAGCCAGCAAAATTGGTTCCTCACATGCCTATCTCATACCCCCTATCAGATCCGCTGGTCCATCTACAACGAAAGCGTCCGATACATCGGGCCTCCTTCTCTGCCCCAGATCCGGATGATGATAACCCCTCTTCAGTTATACGCCCGCTCGCAGACACCATAGACCTCACGGACTTGCCGTCTAATTCACGGCCAATATCGCCTGTTCCACGGCCTACACCTTCACCTGCGGATCCATGGATAAAACCTCCGGTACAAGACACTGATTTACAAAATCATCCGGTTTCACCAGTTCAAATTTCACCTCAGCCGCAGTCTCACGGCTCCACCCGTCCGCAGTCACATCGGCCACCATCCCCTCCGCGACACCTACCTCTCTACCACGAAGCTGGTCCTTCTCGCCAGCGGACCCCCTCACGGTCACCCTCTCTTGACCTTAATAAGGAAGCCTTCTGGCATAGCCCACCAGCTAAACGGGAGCCATGCCATCGGGATGTCCGTGAAGGAGTTAACTATGCCGATGACATATATGATGACTCGGACGATCCCCGTGGCATGTACCCGAATACACATCCCCAGATGACGATTCAGACGATGCAGAACCTAGGGTATCTACCCCTAGCAGCGACGGCTTCGACTACCTTCCAGCACCGAAACCGTACTGTACGGAAACGCCCGAATCGGACTATATGTTCCAGGATGCTGATGTCTAGCGCGCCGACCTGCCTAACCATCCCGATCTACGGCCCGAATCGTCTTCGCCAGACCCGCTCCATGTTGGAATGGCGGCTGTCTCTACCGCTGAGCCGGATGCCTATAACCTCTTTTTGGTCCCTACATACGTCTCCTCCTTCACCGAGACGTCCCTACTGTCTTTCCTCGGCTATATGGACTCACCAGAGCCATTTGAGCCCAAGACCCTCCAGCAGGCCATGAACAGCCCGCAGTGGAAACACTGGCAGGCCGCAATCACGGACGAATATGAATCGCTAGTGGAGAATGGGACCTGGGATGTCCAGACGGTCCCCCGCGGACGGTCCGTCCTGTCCGGGAAGTGGGTTTTCAAGATAAAACGTGGGGCTGCGGGGGAAATTCTACGGTATAAGGCCCGCTGGGTAGTCCGTGGATTCGAGCAACGGGAGGGACTAGATTTCACCGAGACCTTCGCCTCCGTGGTCAAACCAATGTCATACAAGGCTATCTTCGCCCTTGCGGCCGCATACGACTGGGAATTAGAACAGATGGACGTTAAAACAGCCTTCCTCTATGGAGACATCGCGGAAGACGTCTGGATCAACCTTCCTACAGGTTGCGGACTCACTAGCACCACAACCGCTAAGCTGAATAAGGCGCTTTACGGTCTTAAGCAGTCGCCCCGTGTGTGGTATAACACGCTCGCCAACTTCCTCTCAACAGTGGGTTTTCAAGCCCTTGATGCCGATGCCTCTGTCTTCACCAAGGAAGGCATTATTATTGCCATCTATGTGGACGACCTCCTTATCGCTGGCGAATCCAAATCGGCTATTAATGCCCTAAAAGCCGCCCTGTCCAAGCAATTTCAAATGTCCGACTTAGGACCGTGTCACTTCTACCTTGGCATGGAAGTCATCCGTGACCGTCCACGCCGGACCCTCCGCCTATCCCAAGAAGCCTACCTTAAAAAGGTCTTAGAAGACCATGGTATGGCAGACTGTCACGGATCAAATATCCCTATGGATCCGCATTCTCACCCCATCCCGTCCGCGGATCCGCAATACACGGCCCTAGCGGCTTTCCGCCGTGAATACCAGTCGGCTGTCGGCTCCCTAATGTATGCCATGCTAGGCACCCGCCCAGACATTGCTTTTGCGGTCTCAGTTATCTCACGGTACTCCGCAAACCCCACAGAAGCACATATGACCCTAGTCAAGAAGGTGTTCCGCTACCTCAAGGATACCACGTCTATGGGCCTCGTCTTCCGCGGCTCCCTAGCTCCTCTTACGGGCTATACAGACTCGGACTACGCTGGCGATTACAATACCCGGCGCTCGACTTCAGGCTATGTCTTTAACCTAGGCTCTGCGGCCATCTCTTGGTCATCTAAGCGCCAACCTACCGTGTCACTCTCCACTTGTGAAGCTGAATACGTGGGCCAGACAAATGCCACCAAGGAAGCGATCTGGCTCCAAGGCTTCCTTAAACAGATCCACCCGGATTTGGACCCAGGGCTTAGCGCTACTCTCATCTACGGTGATAACCAAGGGGCTATTGCATTGGCTAAGAATAGCGTTTTTCACGGACGAACAAAGCATATCAACACGCAGCATCACTTCGTCCGAGAGAAGGTGGCAGATGGCACCGTGGAACTGAAGCGACCATTTCCGACGGGCTGACTAAGGCCCTACCCCGTGACCCTTTTCAGCGGTTCCGCAATGCTATAGGAGTTGAATGATATATGTATGCTATGGGAGCATAAAAGCTGTGGGAGCATGGAATGTTTTCTTTCATCCGGAGGGGAGATCACGCTTTCCTTTCACCTCTTTTCGGCTCTTTTCATGCATTTTTGCCGTACTTTAGAAATTCTGATTCGGGTATCACTTTTGTTTTTATATCCTCTATATATCCACCGAGCCACTTTACGGTACTGCCGCAAGCCACAGCCTTATGCTTATGCTTCTAGCTTAGTCACACTTGTCTTCTCCTTTGTTTACACTTCTACCATATTCATCGGGTTTACTTCGGCATATTAGACCTTCCACAGATCCTTTTATCCCACGTGGTTTTGGACTGTGGTTTACTGGTGATATAGCCTGTGGGAGCTAGCCTCCACGTTCTTGTATCTAGTTGAGTGGGAGTGTTAAAATGTCAACTAGTCACGTGTATCACGTGGGAGCTTCGCTCCCAGCCTCCCTCCTATAGGGGGCTGGGGGATCTATATATGTGGGCTACGCCCACATCTATAGGATCTCTAAGCAATACAATTCTACTATTTCAGCAACACGTGACTAGTTGACATTCTAACATTAACATCGGGTGCAACCCGTTACAGGGAGGATCATTTGGATCGCAATGATCCGTATGATCCAGGATCGGTGGGATCATGGTGATCCATATGATCCAGGACATGAAGGTTCTATATAAGACTGGGTCGTCACCTATTAGATAGGAGCTTCGTGCTCAACTCAAATAGTATTTCTTAATATACGCTTATTACCTTATACTTAGTAATAACGAGCTATACTCCCAAGTATAGCAACCAGTGAGGCATCGACAGATACTAGACATCAATCCGACGACAACCTAGGTCCAGGGACCTACCTTGAGTCACAAGACTTACCCTAGCACTACGTGAGCTGGGCGATCGTTACACCGTGCTCGTGTCGGGGTGCTTCGCGCCTAGGACCTCCTTCTGGAGCTCAAGCACTTCAACCCCAAGCTGTTCGGCTTCGTCAGACCGGCCTTGCTGCCACCAAGTTGATGCCAGGTTCGCTATAGCCCTGATCGTGTCGGGGTGCTTCGCGCCTAGGACCTCCTTCCGGAGCTTAAGCACTTCAACCTCAAGCTGTTCAGCTTTGTCAGACCGGCCTTGCTCCCAGTAATACCTTCCGATCCGCGTAAAGAGACCTGGAGCTTCATCTTTATACCTATCTGCCTCCTTCCACGCAGCTGCCTTTAACGCATGGGGTAGATATAAAGCGCAATCACTCCAAGTCTCATGTGTGCCGGTTGGAAACAGATCACCAATTACGGAAATAGCATCCCCAGAGAACGAGCTAATTTGTGTTCTATTCAATGCCCGACGAGTTACCAGATGTGTTAAACGATGCTGTTCATAAGTCGGCAAGTCTTCGCCAACGGCTCTTTGTCCTTGGAAGAATGAAAATTCGCAAAGTCGACTAGTTGCCAAAAGAACCTCATCTTCGCTAAAGGTTGAACCAGCACTTGCCCTTATAAGCTCGAACGGAAGTCCCTTGTTATCGAAGAACGCGATCGTCTTCAGAATTTTCTCACCACATGGACTCTCTTCCGCGATCTGCTTCATTGAGATCAGCCAGGTATGCATGATGCTATTCGGCACCTGCGGCCGATAAGGATCTTGAAATTCATGACTCAAGAGAGCTGATTTCCGGCCCTCAGACTCATAGAAGAATTTCAGATATTGCTGCACGGAGATCTTCGTCCTTCTGATATATGCTGCCGCCTGTGAGATTGCAAGCGGAAGCCTCTCGAGAAGCTCTAGGAGCAACCTATCTTCCTCTTCAGATGGCTCTGTGTTGTCCCGTCCGCTCAGCTCTCGAAAGAGGTCCCAAGACTGGTCGCTTGTCATCGCCCCCACTTCAACACCGTGCTTGGTACCCAAGATGTTATCAAGGATGCTGCCATCACGAGAAGTCCAGAGAATAGTGCCGGTCCGAGATTTCGGCACAAATCGAAAGAGCTCCGGACCTGTTGCCGCCTGCATTTGAGAATTTGAGTAAGTCGTCTTAAACATTCTCAAATCGTCGGCGTTATCGAGAATAAGCAGCCAGTCTTTTTGCTGCTCGATCCATTGTCGCACTACCTCCAGCAAATCCTCGCCTTTCAGATCTGGTGATATGCCTGCGACCCTGGCAATTTTGGTATAATCTAGAGTGAACGTAGCCTCGGAATCCGCGTGCACCCAGAAAATAGAACACGAAGTCTCGCGTTGACGACGATACGCATATTCCAGGGCAATCTGCGTCTTACTAGATTACGTCAACTTTGGATAATAACAGGTCCATTTTCTCTACGTACCCACATCCCCCAAGGCCCCAGAGTGCAACTGATCGGTTGCACGATAGTGAAGCGAGGAGCTGATCCAAGGCCTTGAATATATCATCTCGATTAACGAGTCCATCATTTTGAGCAAAGGGAATGAAGGTGATGGCTTTGTGTACTGGTTGTGTTAGGGTTGTCAAAAGAGTAAGAAGTCTCTTACCATGACTGTTTCTCTGCTCGGAATGATGCCACTAGACACCTCCGTCAGTCAAAGGCCCCGAAATCACATAGAATTACTGCGCCTACGTTTATGATACCATCTGGGCAAAACTCAAGAATGGCTTCGAACTTATTAGCATCAATCTAAGAAAAGTCAAGCTCTGCCAACATACGATGCTTCTGTTGCAGGTTTACAGCACATTCGTGAGCTGCGGACTTCGACTCCTGACCATCCATGTACTCGGCAGTAGCAGCATCTATAAGACCCGCCGCTTTGTACTCTTCTAATCCAACGCCCTGAAGGCCTTGCTGGACATTGAATCTGAAATAGCGTTTGGTTTCATACAGCAGCCGGTGTCTCGTCACAAAAATCTTCGCAGTATCCTCTGTCTGGGTTGCAATGCCTACTAAGGTCTGGGAAAAGAATTTCAAAGACCCTTCAGCGATAGGCTTCCTCCCAGGATTACCCGTCCCAATCGATACGAAGCATTTCAACAACGCACTCAATTCCGTTGCTCCATCGTGACACCAGATGCTCTGAGCCTCGTTCCACAGTTGTTCAACTGGATTATTCGCGCCTAATCCTCCGTCAACATACTTTCGCCCCCGTGGCCCAATTGTGACTGGCTCGAAGAAGCTGGAGGCAGCTGAGGTCGCTCGCGCAGCTTCGCAGATGGTAGCTAGAATATTGTTCAGTGCGTCGTCGGAGGTATAGGATCGCAGAAGTACTGTGGTCGTAAGCTCGGAGGCTTTCGCGCAAACAACTCTGTGTTTAGATCAGAATAAGGACTGTGGCAAGAGGAATGCTTACACTTTGCATCTCTCCTCTCCATCATTCAACAGCGCTCCTTCTGGCAAGCCGCGCTCCCGAAGAATCCTATTGATGCACTCCTCAAGAACGGTAGAATCGAATCGGCCTTTGATTTTGCCCAACAGGTTGACAGGCAAACCCTTCTTTCCAAAGATTGTTTCGAACATGTTCGTGTACTTCTCAATACATTCATCGACATCCATTTCAAGGCGCCCTAGCATAATAGCAATGATGCTAACAAAGTTAGATGAGCGTCCAAAATGTCAAGAGAACGTACCCTCCTGTGCTCGTTCCACCGATCAAGTCGAAAAGTTCGCACGGCTTCACGGCGGATTGTCCATTCTTCCTCCGCTCCGCATTCACCTTTCCCATCAGTGCCTTAATGATGAGAAGCGTTGAGAGCCCGCGAACTCCTCCGCCATCTGTGTATGAGTGTTAGTAAATGGAAGCCTAGGAACAACCATACCTACCGAGAGACAATATGCAAAGTCCATCACGATTAAGAGGACTGTCTGAGGCCACTGCCTTGGTATGCATCTGCGCCATGGTTATCGAATCGACAAGCGTGTGCCTTCGAGAGCGCTCTTCAGTATATCGTTAAATCGCGGCTGTAATAAGGATATCTATAGTGCGACTCTATGTTGCGAAATGTTTGACGGAGGATAGAGAGGCATCATCTTTGAAAGTGATCCCCAGCTGAGTCTCGTAGCGCAGGGGTCCGTAACAGGATCCTCAGAGCTATCCCTGTCCGTGATCGCTTGACCTCGTGGTTGGTGATGATTTATGGTAAGGCTGGCGGATGTTCGAGAAGCAGTGCTTTGAGTCAGCGGGGCGACCCGTTACTGTAAAACCATATACTCCGTAAACCCACTTCTACCCGGGCATGTTATCCCTGATTCACGTTCTTAAGCGACGAACGCCTCGAGATAGAGCTAGATTGTTCGATAAGGAATATTTGCAAGATGCTGCGAAGAAGAAACTTAGGAAGTATCTACTTCGTATTGTACTTGAGGCGGGCGCGTATTTGAACCTCTGTTTCAGTCTTATGATCTGAATTGGTGCTCCAGAGAGACCAATGTCTGTCGAGTTTAATATGATCAACAGGCTTAATAGCAGGCAAGAGCAGCGTCTCGTCCTATCAACAACGGCGTTTACCAACCATACCCAATTTGAGGATCACTTCCTGATTAAAGGGCTACTGTAGCAACAATGTCCTTCGTTATCCAAATTATTGAGATTCTTATACTCAAGATATGGCTGCGAGTTATTTCTCATTCAAGATTTTTGAAGAATACTAGCAACAACGCTCTGCCTTCTCCGCAAATAAAGTCGTGATGATACGGGGTACCGACAGGAGTGAAATTTATGGCTCGCATTTAGCTCGCAATAATGAGGCAAAAGGGTCGGTCGGGTACGGCTGCCTGCCGTCACATACTGTAGGTGCGGTTATCAATGGTGGCTACGTGGGTGGTGTGTACGCGAAGAGGTGATGCCTCTTCGCTGACTAAGCTGTGCTAAATCACATGACTAGAAAGGTCGGGATACAGCCCCTTATCCCAACAGAAGGGAAGCGGAAGTCAGGTCTGAAACGTCAGCGAAGATGTCAAGGGCTTGGAAGGTATAGGTACTTTGAATGTACCAAAACCAGAGAGGGAGATTGCGATCTATGGGAGGATGGGGTAGAGGTTGGGAATGTTCACCTGGACAAGTTGGAGAAGCCATTCCTCTGTACTGTAGATGGCTGCTCTTGGTACGGCACGCCACGCTCGTATATTTTCCAGATCATGGAGCACTTGCTTTTTGGCTGGCTGCCAACACCGCCAGTCTCCCTCGCAGGCGTATCTTCTTGCGCCTACTCATTGGCCGTTTCATTTGACACATATTTGCGATCTGCGCTGGCAGCGGCGTAAAGGTAAGGGTCGGGCGTACGGAGTAGAGGTGATTGTGATGGAGATGGTGAGCTGCGAATGTGTGACCAGGTCGAGGGAAGCTAACCGTGGGGCGGGCGCATCACCCTCCTTCGCGAAACTCCATTTATCTATACTCACAGATTGCTTATACCTTACCTTTATGCAATTAGATATATATGCTCAGGTCGATATCAGCAATTAAATACGAGTAACTTCTGACTGCAGCAGTGAGGCGCCGCAGTGTGTCTAGTAGATACCGAGGTACCCCGCTCCGCCCCGCCGTGCACCCCACTGCGGAGTGCCGTGCCTAATTATTCGAGATACTTGTACAGATACCTTCATCCATCTACCTTGCCTCGACAGCCGACAATACCACTAAGCCAATGACTTCTCGAGAAGCTAGCCATGCTGGCTCATGGTACACTAGAAACTCCCACGCACTCTCTGCCGAGCTGGATCACTTCCTTGAACAGGTCCCTAGCTCTATCAAAAGCCATCAAGTTCCTATCCCGAGGGCACGAATTATCATTGCTCCGTGAGTCGAGTTGCATTGCACCTATGCCACCCCGAATGTCCGACTCTACTAACCTTCAAAAGCCATGCAGGATACACATACTCTGGCCCTACTGCGGCATGGGCCTACAAAACCCTCGACCTCTCGAAAGCAAAGCGAATCTTCCTCCTCGGTCCCTCTCACACTATACATCTTCCAGGCTGCGCACTCTCAAAACACGCCAAATACTCTACTCCACTCGGAGATCTCACCATTGACTCGGAAACCGTGAAAGAGCTACATGCGACGGGGAAGTTTGACACTATAAGCAGGGACACGGATGAGGTCGAACACAGCTTGGAGATGCACCTTCCATATATCTACAAGATGCTCACCCTCGGCTTTAAGTCCAGCGAAGACTACCCAACCCTTGTTCCCGTCCTGGTAGGCAGTACATCAGAAACGTTGGAAAATGCCTACGGCCAGATCTTTGCCCCTTATCTCGCGGACCCCACATCAGTCTTTGTCGTGTCGTCTGATTTCTGTCACTGGGGTGTGCGTTTTCAGTATACATACTATGTTCCGAATAATTCAAAGCCGGGATCTAGCGGTATCAGCTTGAGGAGGCGCGACGTAAACCCCAGGGATCCTGAAATACACGAAAGCATCGGGCAACTTGACAAGATGGCTATGGATGCAATCGAAGGAGGAAATCACAAGAGCTTTCTTGAAAACCTAAGAGAGACGGGCAATACTATATGCGGGAGGCATCCGATCGGTGTGGTGATGGCTGCGATTAGTGCTTTGAAGGAGGAAGGCAGGATTACTCCCGAGCAAGGGAATTTCAACTTCGTCCGGTACGAGAGAAGTGGAGATGTAGTAGATATCAGCGACTCCTCGGTCAGCTATGCAAGTGCATATGCTGTTATGTGAGTTTCTCCGTATTTCGAGCAATTGATTTAGTGGTATTTGTTTTATGTCCTACACTCTGTAGTGAAGACATTCTCCTCGTGAATACTGTTAATCTATACCATGACCATCTGTTACAATAATATAATTATGTTGCTTGAGGTTCTACTAGGTATGAATAATACGGACTTCGCCACAGGTCGCCCCCCCCCCCAAAAGGGGACGTGACACATGTGACTAAGCCGATCTCGGGGCGCGATCATTAAAAAAACATTTACCCCTCTACCCCTCCATTGCACACCAATCGTCAAACAAGTTCCCAAAATGCCTAGAAAGGAGTCCCCATTTGATTTGCAGACTTGCGCTCGTCTGAATATCCTCCAATTGGAACCATACCGTTGCGCTAGAGAGTAAGGTCTTTTGAACCCCCTACAAAAAGGTATTAACTCATCTGCCTTAGTGATTACAAGGACGACGGCACGAACATCCTCCTTGATGCCAACGAGAACGCCTACGGACCCTCCCTCGCCCCAAACAGTTCTTCGAATCCCTCCAACCCCTCTGAGGAGCCCTCAATCGACTTCCTCGGCCTAAACCGATACCCAGACCCCCACCAGCATAACCTGAAGCAACTCCTCTGCAACTTGCGAAATACACACATACATACCTCTAAAACACTTACTCCGGCGAACCTCTTTGTAGGCGTCGGCAGCGATGAAGCGATCGACGCGCTCCTGCGCTGCTTCTGCGTGCCCGGCCAGGACAGCATTCTTGTTTGCCCACCCACGTACGGGATGTACTCAGTGTCCGCACAAGTCAACGACGTAGGCCTAGTGAAGATCCCATTACTCCCCGCACCGGACTTCGCCCTCGATATACCAGCCATTATATCTACACTCTCTTCTTCAGAAGCCGCAAGTATCAAGCTGATATACATTTGCTCGCCTGGGAATCCCACAGGGTCTTTGATTGGGAAGGAGGATCTACGGCAAGTCCTTGAGCACCCGAGTTGGAATGGGGTTGTGGTCTTAGATGAGGCGTATATTGATTTTGCGCCCGAGGGCTCGTCGCTTGCGGAATGGGTTCTGGAATGGCCGAATTTGGTGGTTATGCAGACTCTGTCGAAAGCGTTTGGGCTTGCGGGTATACGGCTCGGAGCTGCTTTCACGTCGCCGGCTATTGCGTCGTTATTGAATAACTTGAAGGCCCCGTATAATGTTAGTAGTCCAACGACTGCGATTGCGTGTCAGGCATTGCAGGAGGGTGGGCTGAGTGTTATGAGAAAGAATCGGGAGAGTATCTTGGCCCAGCGAAATAGGCTGTGGAAGGAGCTGCCGAAAGTCAAAGGAGTGGGCAGGTTTAGGGGTGGAACTGCTAGTAACTTTCTACTGGTTGAGATCTTGGATATAGCAGGGCAGCCTGATAATTTAACTGCTCTAAAGGTATACCAGATTCTAGCAACAGATAAAGGGGTCGTAGTGAGGTTCAGAGGCAAGGAGCAAGGGTGTTTGGGATGCTTGCGCATCACGGTTGGGACGGAGAAAGAAATTACAAGGTTTTTGAATGAGATCCAGGGTGTGCTTGAGCATATATATGAGCGGAAATGACAGACTTTCAATTAGTCACTTAGAACCACATAGGAGGGTAGCTCCCCAGCCTCCCCTTATACGGGGCTGAGGCCTGTATATATAGTCGTAATTCACATCATAGTAGGACGTCAAGCAATCCAGTTCTACTACTTTAACACTAAAAGCATTTTAAGACTGTTGCAAAGATCAGTATCTAGTTCAGTATGATGAGATCTGAAATGAATCTAGGTCGAATATGATACTGAAGATTGAGACTGCGGCTGCAAGCCGTCGGTTGGGGACACTCCACTTTGTTCACGGCTCCCCAATCAATGCTTATTCAAGATTATAAACTTTCTATTAACGCAAAGCAAGTATATGCGTAACTAAACATGCTAATTTCGCCTTTGGTCTAAAGTTTCTCCGCCGCGCCCGGGACGTTGTTCTCTGTCTCTGTTGGATCGGGTTCAACATGCAAATCAAAAGTTTGCCCAGAGGAATACATGAGCTCCAGGAGCTCTCTTCCTAGAATACGCAGACCATCAACCTTCATATCGTCTTCGAGCCTCTTTCTTACCCTTATAATACGCCTTCGCCAGTGGTGGAACTTCGGGTGCCTCCCATCGAACTCGGCCGCTAACCATGTCTCCGCGGGGTTTGGGCAGGAAGGAGGATGAGCAAGGCAGAGAAGACCAAATGCGTATTCATAGACTTCGTCCATTTTCGTGTCCCACTCCCATTGAAGTTGGCTGGTATCGTGTTCAGGATCCGGTCGAATATATTTCTTCTCTTCCTCGATTCGAACTTGCTTGAGGGCCTCAATGTAGATCGACCGGATTTTAGGGTCGTCGGCAGGTAGTAGAGGATATGGGAAGACTATACCATCCCCGGGAGCGAGGACGATCCTGCAAATGTTCAGTATCGGTGTGTTCATTAGGAGTGCTGAATGGCATACTCACGTGATCATATCCCAATGGTCATCAAGTCCTTGCTGCCACATCTCGTTCTGCAAGGCACCCTTGGGCCACGAAAATATAACAGGACGAGCTTGCCATCCATCGTCGCCGATCGGCAGAATCCTGCCACTTGGAAACGAGTAAGGATGCCAATGATGCCTGTTGTCTTGCCAAGAGTTTGAACGATCAGGGGTATCCAGTACGGCATCTGGATAATGATAACCCGTATCGTCCTCCCACTAAATAAGAGGTCTGTTAGGTCTTCCTTCCACTTATAAGATTGATGGCATGAGCTAAGGCATATGACAAAGTGGGTAAGAGAAGAGCCATTGTGGAATCGCGTTGCCCTTACCTCGACATCAGCTACATTAGCTACATCGGCAACATCAGCGATAGCACCGTGGATGGCAGAGGCTAGTAGTAAAACTGTAAGAAGCATTTGGTTGACTTTGGTTCGATCAGCTGTCTCGTCGGACTTTTGTGTAGAACAATGTGTGCTGAAACTGAGATAATGCAAAGGGACTGCCTTTAAATATCTGGTGATATCAAACTATCTTATTAGATACTTGATTCATCAATGGTACTATTCCGGATCTAACAACGCGTATACCATGGTTGAGTGTACCATCGTTAAGCACTTCCCGCACTCAAAAGACAATTGCGTTGCTACATTCAATAGGTGTAAAAAGGAACCGGATTTTGTACTTAAGGAAAGCCGTTGAAGCTCTACTTGACTAGGGTTCCGCTGTCACTATAATTAGAGCCCTAAAGACGAATGCTTGGATGTTGACTAAACATATGGTCCTAGAAAAGACCAGATGGATTCGCAAACAGCGGATAGCGGATATAAATTTGCCCCTAGGGCGCTTCAAGAGAATAAATGGCTCAACTAAGCACACAAACCGACACGAAAATAAATTATAAATTCATGTTAACAACATGTGCTAGACGGTTCGTTTCAGTCCGCCCCTCCTAGTTTTTGCCCACCATCAAGCTTGGTGTTATGAATATGCTTGTCGTCATGTCAGGGCTATTAGCTTCATGCCTTAGGTTGCATATTCGTGTAAGAGTGAGGCATGAAAGCTGTACAAGCAGAGATTGTATGGTCATCCGCGATAAGAATATCACGTGGTTGACTGAAACTTACGAATTGATGCGGAAACTGTCCGAGCGGCAGGTTCGGTGGTATCGGTCCCAGTCCTTACGATCTTTCGAGCCTCCATGCATGGCCAATCATAGTTGAAATAATTGCTTGTCAGCAGAGAAAAAAATCCGGGGAAATATTCTGTGACTTCACTCTCATACCGTACAGCCAAGACGGACAATCATTGTGTTTCAATGGCATCAATATGATATCAGTCAGTCTCTCTGCTTCATGCTCTAGGATTACACTCACACTGTTTACAGCAACGACTCGGTCTACAACGCCTACGGGCCAGACCAACCCGTAACCTCCCCCTCCGATACAACTATTCTCCCCTGCGAGCCCTCACCTCCACGGCGCAACGCTTCCAAGATGTCTTCCACGCCCAGGCCTCCGACCCGCACACCTCCGCCATTCTCTCCTCCCTCAAATCCGCCTCTCCAAAAACACCACAAACCCTGACCGAGAAAATCGTGCAGCGGTACTCGCTCGGGCTGCCAAAAGACAAATTCGTCAAGGCAGGAGACTATGTCACACTATCTCCCCATCACTGCATGACCCATGATAATTCCTGGCCCGTGGCCTTAAAATTCATGTCAATTGGGGCATCTAAGATCCATGACCCGACTCAGATCGTCATGACGCTGGACCACGATGTGCAGAATAAGAGCGAGACGAACCTGAAGAAGTATAGGCAGATTGAGGAGTTCGCGGCCAGGCAAGGCGTCGATTTCTATCCGGCTGGGAGGGGTATTGGACATCAGATCATGGTGGAAGAGGGATACGCGTGGCCGGGGACAATGACGGTTGCGAGTGACAGTCACAGTAATATGTATGGTGGTGTTGGATGTCTCGGTACAGCGATGGTCAGAACGGATGCCGCGAGTATATGGGCTACGGGGAAGACGTGGTGGCAAATTCCACCTGTTGCAAAAATCACGTTCACCGGTGTGATGCCCAAGGGCGTTACGGGGAAGGATGTCATCGTTGCGCTGTGCGGCTTGTTTAACAATGATGAGGTGCTCAATCATGCGATTGAGTTTACGGGGTCGGAGCAGACGATGAAGAGTCTGCCTGTAGATGATAGGCTGGCTATTGCGAACATGACTACGGAGTGGGGAGCGCTGACGGGGTTGTTCCCGATTGATGGCATGTTGCAGGCTTGGATGAGGGCCAAGGCTACAACATCTGCGCTCTTTGATGAGCCGAAAGATGGAGCAAGGTTTACGCATCAGAGGATTGATGATTTGATTGAGAATCAGCTGAGTGCCGATAAAGGGGCTACGTATGCCAAATCATTGTATCTCAACCTCTCGACACTCTCGCCATATGTTTCGGGTCCCAACTCCGTCAAGGTTGCTACTCCTTTGCGAGATCTGGAAGCTAAAAATATCACATTGAACAAAGCCTACCTGGTATCGTGTACAAACTCCAGAGCTTCGGATCTTGCAGCAGCCGCCAAGGTTTTCAAAGACGCGTCGAAAGATGGCGAACCAGCGAAGATTGCGCCCGGCGTAGAATTTTACATTGCAGCAGCATCAATACCCGAGCAAACAGCCGCCGAAGATGCAGGAGACTGGCAAGCACTTCTTGCCGCAGGGGCGAAACCACTACCAGCTGGCTGTGGTCCATGCATCGGTCTTGGAACAGGATTACTCGAGCCAGGAGAGGTAGGAATCAGTGCCAGCAACCGCAATTTCAAAGGTCGCATGGGCTCACCAGATGCCAAAGCTTATCTCGCGAGCCCCGAAGTTGTCGCCGCCAGCGCACTGAGCGGTAAGATCAGCGGGCCTGGGTGGTACGAAAAGCCTGTTGGTGTTGAGAAGGTTGTGTTGGGGGAAGGAAATGGGGTGCCTGAGGAGGACCGCGCGATGAGTGTTGGCGATGCGTTGGATAAGTTGATTGCGGACGCCGACTCGATTATCCAGAACGCGGAGTCGTCCATCTTGGGTTCCGAATCTACTTCTGCTGAGACTTCAACTAGTGATGCAGATGAACACTTAACTGATATCCTCCCCGGATTCCCCGAGAAGGTCGAGGGAGAGATCGTTTTCTGTGACGCGGATAACATTAACACCGACGGCATATACCCCGGGAAATACACCTACCAAGATAATATTTCCGTCGAGAAAATGGCCGAAGTCTGCATGGAGAACTACGATAAAGCATTTGGATCTATTGCCAGAGAGGGTGATATCCTCGTCGCAGGCTTCAATTTCGGCTGTGGGAGCAGCAGAGAACAGGCCGCGACCGCGATTCTAGCGAAGAAAATCCCCCTTGTGGTATCCGGCAGCTTCGGCAACATATTCAGCAGGAACAGCATCAATAACGCACTTATGGGCGTCGAAGTGCCGCGTCTAGTTCAGAGACTCCGAGAAACATTTTCATCAAAGGAGACGGAGGTGAAGACGGATGTGAAAGAACCCCAGCTCAACAAGGATAGTCTAGATAGTCCCCCTCCTGCAGCGCAAGCAAGTCCCACAGTGGTGGAGGAGAAGATCTTGACGCGGCGGACAGGTTGGAAGTTCGTATGGGATGTGAGGAGAAGTAAGGTTGTCGTTACGGAGGGAGAGGGTGGGGCGAGCTGGAGTCAGAAGGTCGGTGAGTTGCCGCCAAACGTACAGGAGATTATTGCAAGAGGTGGGCTGGAGAAGTGGGTAAAAGGGGAGATTTCTATATAGGTATTAGGTCGCAAGTAGGATACAAAAATCATGTACGAGTAGGAATGTAAGTATATATTACCAAATGACTATTCGCGACAAGGAGAATGTAGTAATACTGTGCAAATGATATTTCGGGACGTCTTGCCATGGCAAGTCATTCTACGAGTAGTAATACACAGGCACGCAGTATTTTTCTTTGAATTCTTCTTTGCCCGATTCCCAATATTCCCTCCTACTCACAAACCCCACCAGACCCCCTTCTACTTTACTGCCAGGCAGTATTATGCTGATGGCTAAGAATATTCCATAACCTCAATATACATTTAGTAGAGAACTGAAGCTAGCATCTAAGCACGCTATACTTTCCCCCCTCAGCGCCGTATAATGAAGTATGAAATCAATTTCATCTCAGAAGGCTTTGAGATCCGATCTCATGAGAGAATCAACTAAGGGATGGGTTCTTGGGATTATGTAGGAGGGGGGTGAAGATAGAGGACATGTAGAGAAAGGAAATACTCATATGCTTGTAAAAATCTATTTGACTTCATCTTTTTAATTCTGTGGAAACACACAGGTAACATAATAATCTAAGACATTTTGCCCGCAGCCCATTCCTTTCTCTTGACCCCAAGCTCGACAGCTGCCAAACCCCAATCCTCTCCATGATTATGGCTCCCGCTGGTGACGCCAGCTCTCGCCTTGGCTTGATCGTCATTCAACACGGTCAATAAACCAAATATCAAAGGGCATCCGGTATCGAGTTGTACGCGCATGAGGCCGTGGGAAACCGAGTCGGCGATGTATTCGAAATGCATGGTTTCGCCCTTGATAAGCACTCCGATGGCAATAATAGCGTCAAAAGGACCAGAGGATGTGGCTTCTGATACTGACAGAGATGTCAGATCTGTAGTCGAGGAGCCAAGGAGATCGCCAGCACCTAGAGTGGAAGAGGTGGTGGACTGAACCTGGGAGGCAGAGAAGAGCCTATTCGCTGGTGAGGTTTTGCCTGCTTGTGGAAGAAGTTGTAGAGCTTACTTGGAGACAGCTATTGGCAGCTCCCAGGAGCCGGGCACAGATTGCACGACGATATTTGATTCTTTGACGCCTGATGCGAGGAGTTTAGATTTGGTCCCTGCGAGGAGGGGTTCAATAATTGCTGTAAGCAAGCCAACGGTCAGCAAGAGGCTTTGGTGGGGTGCGGAGGGGTAGGGCAATCTTCATGTACAGGTGTTCCAGCGCGCATGGACGATTCCGATACGCAGGCCACTGCCATCGTGCTGTTGGGCTTCTCCAGGTCCTTTGAGTGATGCCATTGCGGTATATGTTGTTTTGTGGAGGTAGCAAGTGTGTAGTGTAGGGATTGTATTGGGATTACCTAGGTAGGAGTCTGTTCCTGAACGAGGGGAGGGGTAGCCAAGCCAAGTGTGGGTGTGGCTCGAGCTTGCGCATAGACCAACCAGTCCAGTCCCCGACGATTGCTGTAACAGCAACCTGGAAGGCCGTTAGAGAACACCATTCCATGCGACGATTCTATAAACTACCGCCTTTATTCATCTGCGATGATTACGTCAATTCTTCACCTCAAGTAGACCTCCTATCATACCTACATATTCGATTGATCCCACTGCAGAAGCACACAATTCAACATGGCGGCTTCATCGATTCTAGGCCCGTGGGTTCGTTTGGAAGGCATCTCGATATCTCAACTACCGCCAGGCGGGAAAGGAACCAAACCTACCAATGCACCCCCTTCGAACGAGAAATTCACTGATGGGTCCGGATCTGCCACACCTCCGAATGTCAAGTCTTTCGTCACAAGCGTACTTTCCGAATCCATTCCCTTCATCGATGGCGTTGCCCCAAAAGCTGGTGGAGCCGCGACATGGAAAGGCAAAGGATCGCCAAAGAGGTATGCTTCATCGGAAGCGCCTGTGCATCTTTACGAGCGCGTAGTTCCTGGAAGGGATTTGGACAAGATAGAAGGGATGAGTCAATTTTCCGCAGATAGAAAGAACGAGACGTGGTTCTGCAGGAGGTCCAGTCATAGGAATAAGGCGGAGCAGGGAACGGCGAGTTGGGAGGAGTTCATACACAGTTTCAAGGATCACCACGCAGAGACGGAAGACGCCTTTACACCTACAGTGATTGGTGGCAGGGAAGCTATAAGGTGGGATACAAGTGGCCTGGAAGTTATCATCTACGGTGGTCGATGGAACAACATTACAGTAGCTGTTGTTGAGATGACACATAAGATTGATCCGAAACCACTGCAAAACCGCACGTTTCCGGTTGTCCAAGTCGCGGCTTCTTTAGAAGGAACCTCGGAATTTATGGTCATTTCAATACCTCTGAGCGATTTCGAAAAGTCACCCTTTGCAGACTTTGCGCGGAACAAGAGCTTGGTTGTAGCAGCATATGTATCGATCGAACGTATTCGGGTCCTTCCAAGCAACAGCGACGTGGAGTGGATTATGGCTACAGCCTCTGACGCAAAGGGCGTCCTTCCTCAATGGATGCAAAATCTCGCTGTTCCCACTGCCGTCGCCAAAGATGTCGACATGTTCTTGGCGTGGATTGCCAGCCAGAGGAATAGCGCCAATGGCAAGCCAGCTCCGATATCCAAAAATGCCCCGCCGAGTTCGAATGAGGAAGCACCTCCTCCAATTTCAAAGACCGACGACAAAACGGCTTTCAGACAAGCGGACTCGAACAAGGATTTGCCCGTGGCGCCTGTGCAATGAAGATAGGGTGGTATGAGTGTACGATCAATCTTTCCAAAATGTTAGCTTACGAAGTCATGTATACTATTTCATGTGGTTTTGGGTTGTTAGGGACCTCACTGTTATGAAAGCTCTTCGCTTTTTGACCTCTTTTTCCACAGATCAGATATCGCTAACTGTGTGCCTTCTAATATAAGCTCATGTTCCTGGGAATGTATTCTGGTCTTCAATTCGTCCAAAGTTTCTGGCGTTTGGCACTGGATTTTGCGAATCACAATGGGGTCTCCGCGATCCACCTCACTAATGACATAATGCTCCGCGATTGTTAGCTATGAAGAAATTGAACACACAAGAGACATCGAGGCTTACAATCATGATACCTGTAGTATCATTCTCCAATTTACCCTTGTGGTAGTCTTCATATGCCCTCTCGATAGCGCTGGCACCATCATACTGTTTGGGTAGCGCACTAGATCACGGGGGGGGTTAGTTATTTCCTATTCAAGAAGGTTTCGAGAGCGGAAGGAGCTTATGTCCCCAGTTTGGGGAATTTATAGGAGGATGTAGAGCACCTGATGACGAAATATTATAAAAAAGGGTAAGGTAAAATCAAAGAGCCAGTTATTCTTACGGATGTAGGTTGATAATTGGGACTCTCTTCTCTGCCAAAGGATCCAGGAATTTTGAGGTAAGAATATGCATCCCTATAAGGAGTTAGTTATACTCTTGCTATACAGGGCAAGAAAAGGGTTGGTTTTACAGCCAGCACAAATAACGATATCGGGTTCGTCTGCCAGGACTTTTTTCGCCAGATCAGCGTCGTATTTCTCCCGGGCCGCTGCCTTCACAGCTGGGTCCTTCTCTCCGACAGCATAATATTTGCCCGATATGAGATTGTGGTATGCGGTAGGTATTGAGACAGCTTTAGCACGATTGAGACCATTGGCCCCCGCCTTGTTGCTTATCACTCGGACAATTGTAAGGTGAGGCATAAGAGGGGCAGCATCAATAAGAGCTTGGAGGTTTGAGCCTTCGCCCGAAATGAGGACGGTGGCTTTTGTAGGGGGCAGATCTTGAGGCATTTGGATGATGCGAAAGGATATGGTATTTGTGAAGTTGTGAGATTGAAGTTGGTAGAGGAAAATAATTGGAGGGGGAAAATTGGAGGGGTAAAAGTTGATGTGTATGCGGCTGCATCGGCGTCGGCATCGTCATCGGCACTCGGAGCTTTAGATAAGGCTCTAAGCTACCTAAGCCTAAGGTAGGCTAGGGCTTCAGATAAGAAGCGCGAACCTCGAAAGTTCAACTTGACTTGTAGATCTACAATACAACATGCTAGCGTCAGGTCTCAGCCTGCACCCCTAAATAATCACTACGTACCTAGGTATGACTTACCACTTACCTAGGCCTAGGTACACATTTGCCATCAATGTGGGCGAAGCCTATGCACATTCGCAGGCGGGGTACCTGCGTTCCCACGTGATACCACGTGGCTTGTTGATATCCTGACATCTTCCATTGCCAACAAACATTAATTGGGACATTCCCATCCACAGCGCAACATGGAACAGCGTCCACATCCCTTAAGATCACGCTGCCTGGGAAGTCTTCCCAAGCCATCCTCCGGTTCCTCCTCCTCACTCGCGGACATGAGAGTCAATGATCCTCCCAAGCTCCGAGTCCTGATCGCCTCCAATGGGGGCAAAGACGTAGCACAAGCCCAAGCCCTCGTCGTGCGGCTTTCCAAGAACCCCAAAATCGAAACTCGAGCCATCGTAGACGAAGATGCATACTCTACACACCGGTTGTCACAGGAGACTTTGACGTTGAAGAATCGGCCTTTCGGGTTTGGTAGAAGAGCGGACGAGGCGGAAAGGGAGATTGAAAGGTCGCAGATTGATTGGTACAAGCAACAGGCGTATGACCTCTGCGACTGGGCAGATATGATGGTTTTAGCACCGATTGATGCGGACACGTTTGCGAAGATGTTGCACGGCATTACCGATTGTTTCCTGCTGGAAATTCTACGTGGATGGGACGTTTCGAAGAAGATATTACTGGTTCCTGGAATGACGACTGCAATGTGGGAGAACCCTACCACGAAGAAGCAATTGAGCAAGGTGCGAAGGAAATGGCAATGGGTAAGGGTCCTGCAACCGATACTATGGCATTACGAAAGCGAAAGGATACCGGCGAAATGTTTTGTGAGTTGGGATGGCTTCAGCGAGCTTGTGGGGGTAATCAAGAACCAGGCGGAACTCATGACCATAGGTCATGATGTGGATATAGCCACATCTTCAACGGCGACCTCGGAATCATACAACACAAAGACCGACAAACTTCTCCCACCGGAACTGTGGAGTACAATACTTGAATACGTTGGGGACTGGGAGATTGCAAAGGCGTTGGAAGTCTATACAACCCTTCCAACACCCCCAGAATGGCGAAGGCCCGGCGTGCCGAAAGACGAGGTACAAGTCTACATGCGTTCCCTGGAGCGGGTAATCCTTACGTCTTCAGTTCAACAAATAATCCACAAGCTCAGGGCGGCCCCTAAAGAGATGAAGTACCTCTCTGGTCTTTGCGTGAAGCTTATCATCAAATTTTGCTTGACTGAAATTCTTACATACCTGGAGACGAACCTCAAAGAAGTTTTCCTAATTTCATTTAATCAAAAGCTGCTCCCAATAAAAGCCTCAACTGTCTATGGACGTACTGAAATCCTAGAATGGTGGCGCACGTCGCCAACCTTCCTCTCCAAGACTTATACAGCTGAAGCGATTGACGGTGCTTCCAAGTCAGGTTTCATCCACGTTCTCGACTGGTGGCGCCAATCTGGTCTCGACCTCAAATACACCGAGTTAGCCCTCGAGCAGGCATCCTCAAAAGGCCACATCCTAGTATTGGAATGGTGGAAGCAAGCAAGCTTGCATCAAGGGAACTACTACATCGATCCAGACGTCCGCCATCACCATGGTTCCCCTATGCCCGCAGAACCGGACGAACACCCAGAGATGCATCCTCCTCTGCAGCTCAAGCCCGGTAAAGCGCTGCTAGCAGCTGCCCAGAATGATCAACCTCTTGTTCTTCGATGGTGGGACAATTCTGGCATTCCTATTGGGCATTCGGAATCGGTAGCAAAAATCGCCTCAGCGCAAGGACACGTCAAGGTTCTCGATGCATGGCGCGAGCTTCGGGGCGACAAAATGGCCTTTGATAATCGCATTCTGATTGAGCCCACCAAAAATGGCCATGTAGAGGTACTAGAGTGGTGGAAGCAATTCAATCGCGGCCAGAAGGACCGGGTGGGTCCAAGAGCTGAGTATAAAACTTGTGATATTGAGGAGGCGCTGGAGGATAGTGTTGGGAGTGAGGGCGAGGCGTTTGCTGTTAAGAAATGGTGGGCGCAGAATGGGTTGAATTTGGGCGTGCAGGTTAGTGAATGGACAAAAGTGAAGGTTTTATGAGATGGGATGGAGTAACAGGGTTTAAGAAGTCTGTCTATGTTGGTAGAATTGAATTGTCTGTTCTACTATGGACTTGGGCGAAGGCCGTATATATCCCGTCGTGCTCCCTCCCTAGGTACCTATAGGTAGATATAGGTACGTGATTCCATGTGATCACAGGCCATCCTGACAATCCGAAAGTAATCTGCCATAAAAGTGTCGATTTCAGGGCTCTTTCACCATTTCTCAGTCGATGCAGAAGTGATTTAGTCTTCGTGTTCTTGAGACGCAACTCAGCGTGCACAACCTCTTGACGGAATTAAATTCCGTCCTTCATTGCTTGATAAGCAGCAGCAAGAGTGCGGGACTTTAAGGTGTTGGACTAGATAGGTAGCTTCCAGAGGTCGTCGTCCTTCAACTTAATCACGAAGAGTTTAATGACACCATTGCGCTTATATCGAGGGAACTTTCTGGAAAGGGCGCAAGGGAAAAAGTCAAGCAATGGTTCCATCCTATTCGCAGCTACTCTCGCTCCATGATCCATATTTGCGAATGGGTACTGGGAATGGTTTAGATCTAGGTAGTAGATGTTAGTTTTGTTGAAGCAGACAATAAACGAGTCTTTACTAGAACAAATGCTACCACACCAGGCGCCAGGTATGTGTGAACACTATGTAAGACACATGAATAGAACATGTCTGGTTGTAGACACTGATACCAACGTTATCCACACACCGACATCCTAACATATATACGCCAAAAGGCAACTGGAGAGCCAGTCCAAGTAGATGGGCTTCATAGAGCTGTCCAAATACACAAATGCTAGAACCACGGCCAGGGAAGCAACTTTTCAATTGTGAAGAGAAGTATTATACACCCAAACTCCAAAACTCCACGCTCCAAATGCATATAGAGCCCTATCCGCACTCCATTTTTGAGCACGCAGACTACACGGATACCACACCGTTAAGACTTCTTGTCTTTCCCCTCAATCTCCTTCAATAATGTCACCAAATCGGCCTCGTTACCCTCCATCTCGAGCCCTTTACCAACCCACTCCTTAGCCTCTTCCAGTCTCCCCATCTCAATCAAGCACCTCCCCTTCCTCCACCACGCCTTAGCATTCCCCGCCTTCTTAGCCTCTACACTGGCCTCTGCATCGACACTCCCTTCCACCCAATTCGATATTGCTACATGAGCCATCGCGCGATTTGAATATAACCCCGCAACCTCATCTCTAACCAGCCCACTCGGCTCCCACGCTGGTCTCGTCAAGGCCATTTGCAGACCCAAGGTGTAGTAGTTTATCGCATCGGTGTGTTTGCCTTTGCGGAACTCTGCGTTCCCGGATTCGCGCAGCCTAGTGATGCCTGCAGAGCGCTTTGGATTGACGGGAATAGGAGGAGGAGGGACATCAGTGTCGAGCTTTTTGAAAGCTTTGTGGAGATCGTTCAGGGCTGCGAGTTCTTCTTGAAGAGCACGGGACGTGTTGCTGGAGGAGATGATTTTAGAGGCGGGGTCCATGTAGAGTGGGACGAGCGTGAAAGTTTCGGTGTCTTCCATTCTGAAGAGGGTTTAATAGATTTCAGTGTGAACTGTGTGCAGGATTGTGTAAAAGCCTGTTGTCTGTTGTAAACATGGTTGTGTTTTCAACCCAAATCGTTTTGAGGACAGCTTGCCGATGTCAAAAACGCTTAGTAATAACTGTGCTCGCACACGCTCTCTCCTCTAAATTGTGTCGAGATTTATATATATCCACACCCACAAGGGAACATGCCATGCCACCTTGTAATTATGCTAACCGCGACGTTGCGATAATAATATATGCAACATTACACTTACGACAGCCACTTTGATCATTAATTTAATGACAGAGCATTGCAATCAAAAGCTATATACGAGTGCTGTGTGGGGAACATATGACTGAGCCTTTCTAGTCATGCGACTTAGAGCTAGCTGACTAAGCAACTGGCGATAACCTCATCGCGTTGCACACTCCATCTCAGCTAGCTAACCAATGCAACCAATGCTACCACCAAGACCATAACCTACGGACCTACAAGTGTAGTGAAGTGATCATCTTGTGATATCAACAAGTGCAATCATACGATTTTCTGTACTTCTTATATCTACATTGGAAGAGAGGGGAGTGAGGTGTTGGAGCGATGCGGTGAGCATTCGGAAACGCTTTGCATTGGGCCACGCGACAAGAGGTGGCTGATAGGGATGCCTTACCTGGGTAGAGGTGGGTTGATGATGTGAGGTGTGCAGTTCGAGTTAGTCTACGGCCCAAGCCTAGGTATCGATCTATCACATCTAAAAACCACGACATCAAGTGGTGGGCGGGCAACAGCGATAGCAAGTCAAGTGAATATGTTTCTTTTTTTCAATCGCTAAGCGAAAGTTCCATTTTCATCTCAAATCCATTTATCCAACAGGACTAAGGCTTGAAGGTGAAGTAAGTTACCCTAATATGTAACAAGAAGTGTAATGTATGTGTAGTGCCTATGCACAAAACGAGTGTGAATCGAATGAGTGTTTCCAAATTTAAAATCCCAAGGCTCCTGTACCGTCCTTTCTGTTCCTGTCCTGTTTTGTGTTTCCTGTTTATCCTTTCTATATCCATGGTCATAAAAGTCATTGCAACATCGCAGCACGCAAGCATGCGCAGATTTTGTTGTAAAATACCAAGGCAAGATCAAGCTCCTCGCTTCTCCTCTCCTCTCCTCTGTGTCGCTTTAATTCTTCTCGGCAAAATCCCTAGCATGACGTCTCGCGCTGCCGGTGTTTCCAAGCAGACAGATAAGTTCGGAATCTGTTGTGCTGAGCGTAGCGATATCGTCGGGCTTGTTGTAAGCATTGCTACATGGGAATGTTTGGCATCCGCTGACAGGCGTATTTGAGAATTTGGGGATGATCTCCTTGACGCCCTCATTGTCGTTTGGGTTTACAATAGCTGACACGTCGAAGTAGTTGGACCCGCCAAAGCCGTTCCAGCGGACTTCTCCCAGCATGCCGGTAACATTCTCGGCGCCCGATGACACGGAGTGCCAGTTGCCGATCCAGGAGTCGGGGAAGGTGGTGGACTCGGTGGCAAGGCCAGAGACCGAGAGAGGAGCGATGTAGGCGTTGCCGTCTGTGGCCGTGAAGTAAATGGTGCGAGATGTGGAGTCTTGGTTGACGAAGTGGACTGTGTTTGCGGTGGACAGAGTTGCGAGCGCGGTGGCTGCGAGAAGGAGAGTGGATGTGAATTGCATTTTGATTTGTTTTGTTGTTTGGTGGTTCCGTTTGGGAGTGTGTATAGTCGTAGGGAGTGTATGAGTTTTGATTGATGGGACGAGTGTTCTGTTGGTGTCGTAGAGACAATGATGGACTGCTGTCACTGATAGGAAGCTACAAGTCTGAGCTGAGCTGAAGGACTGAAGTGATCACAGATCGATATATTCTGAAAAGGAGTGAGAGAAACTCGTCGTTGACAAAAAGAGTCTTGAAGAAGAAGTCTTGAATGGGCCGAAAAGGATTGTGGGTGCGGAGAAAGAAAGCTACTTGGGGGGGCACAGGAGGCTTGATATAGGATATTCAAATTCACGACGGGAGAGGCATGACTAGCTGAAAGTTTCTTTCGCACCCCTCTCATCAGGGAATGATAGCACATCGGGAGTGTGGTCGGTCAAAACTCTGTCGAGTAGGGGACACGCTTCTATCCGCTGTCCGGAGCAGTGCTTCCAGAACGTCCAGAACTATGGCCATTTTTCGGCAGCCACCTCAAACCCACTTTTGAAAAGAGGGAGTGAGCCTTCCACTTCCACCTCCACTTCCACTTCCAGGAACGGATTCTTTGGGTCGTTAGACCGGCAAGCCTAATCGAGGAGGGTAGCAGAGATTTACCTGCTGACTCCACTCTATGGTTGCGATCGGACTTTGATTGGGTGTGGATGTTGGTACCTGAATCATTGCGAGCCGTCAAAGTTACTTCGCCATGTGTCCCCGTGGCATAGGACCTGTGCCGGACCTACTTTTTTGAGTCGTGGTGGTGTGGGGACCGGCACTATCATTCGTCCCAATCGCCACGGCACGGGAGATGTTCAACGGTGCCGTTTGTTGGAACTGACAACAGTTTTCTAGTCAGGGGGGCATGCAAAGGGTTGAGTGGCTCGTGAGAAGCATCTGATCTTTTGATTTGAGGGAAGATAGATGTATACTACTTGTCATGTAATGCAAACCTGGAATATACAGAATATACAAATATAGATGTCGTTTTCGTCGGAGCTTCATAATTCTAGGGTTGCAGCTTGGGGAAGGGGAAGCAACAGATCAGATGGAGTGAGTGAGTGAGTGAGTGACCGACTGACTGTCAGACTGTATGTACGGAATTTCTGCATAGCAGAGTAGTAGCCGATGATATCTGACCTCAGCTCGACTATCATCAACTACTGCAAGAAGAAAAGAAAATGCCCGATTCCTCTTACCACATCGCAACCCGCGCAACCCTGTACCTGCATCTACATCTGCATCTGCCATCTGCAGAGTTTGCACCTGTGCACCTATCGTAGTATAGATAAGGCATCGGAGCAAACTTTTACTGGGTCAAGTCAAGGATGGGAGGGGGCGAATCACGGGTTTGATCACACAATTGTGCCTGTGGCTGCTTCTTTGCTGCAGCATCTGAGCATAACTACGCGAATGAAAATTACAAACTGCTGGACGTGAACTTGGAGGTACCTGGCTGTTGCTATGGGTGAACGTGAACGTGGAGGTACTGGTATGTACCTGTATAGACGTGGCGCGACGTGGAAAAGAGTCAGTCGAGGAGCCAAGACTGCCAAGTCCGACTTGGATCAAAGCTTTTCGGTGGGGCGGAACCACATGTGCGCCCGTCCCGAGCAGCCGATGGGCAAGGACAAGCTTCGGAGTGGGCTTGGCACTAATTGTCTGATTGGTCCAAATTCAGACAGGCGACGTCTGATCCACGGTTTGCCGACACTCGAGTCGCCGTAGGCCTAGGCCTAGATAAGTACTCGGGAGTACAAGTCATGTCTGTAGGTGTACTAGGTGTACTCCGAGGAGGCACGGCAGTCTGTTGTATAACCGTATTATTGCATCGGGTAAATGGGTAACGAGTAAGGAACGAAGAAATCACAAACTAAGTAAGTGAGCCGACCAAAGCAAGCCACTCGAGCCACTGTTGGTTGTCCGATGTTTGGCCCTTGCATAAAGTTGGCTCAGGTACCCGATTGGCGATCACGTAGGAATAGGGCTGCATGAGTACTGTACTGTATGGAGGAATGAGTTGTCGGCATGTGCGCTGTGCCTTGCGTTTCCCCCACCCTGTTTCTCTCACGGAGATCTCCATCCATCCATCCATCCCACTCCACAAAACCATCAAATTCTTCCATCAAATTCTTCATAATCAAATTCTGTCCCAATCGCCCAGTTCTTTGGTGTCTGTCGTGAATTCGTGACTCGTGAATTTCAAAACCTACCAACCTTGGGTATGTCGTCTTGCCTCCCACATGCTGCGTCTTATTGTCCCAAAGTGAAATATACTTTATGCCTGAGGCAGGAGGTAGGTAGTAAAGAGGACCCGACCCCCTCGCCAAGACATAACGGCTTGAGCTTCCACTTCCCCGTTCCGGATCAGGAGCGGGCGTAAACCGAGTACCATCTCACTGGAGGGCCCTACTTTCATAGGGAATGGTACCATTGTACCAATAGAAAAAAAATACAAACCATTAAACGAGTACGATTTGGTTATCCTCTTCTGCTGCTGATGAATAAAAAGATATGGAACATAAGGGAAGCACTCGAGTGAAGAGTCGTAAAGCTGAATTCCTATACGCTTTTAGCTTTAGTCCTTGTAGACGTGGTACGGTATATACCTTGCACCTCTCTCTACTTCCTGTATCCCAGGTCTGTGACTTAGCGTAGCTTAGTCCGCGAAGAGGACCTCTGATTTACCGCGGCGCGGTATCCTGTGATACCAACAATATCACTATCATTATAAAAGCCAGTTGTAGCTGAAAGTTCCGTACTATATTACCTTTGCATTCAAGTCAACCCACCTCAAACTAGAAATTAAATGATCGGATGCTTTCTGATCTAAACTCCTATATAGTAGTCCATGTCTATTGCACGAACTTGCTGTCCTTACTTACATACAAATCTACATACTCATCCACAGCCATAGCCTCCAACTTCTTCCCATCATTCCCAAGATCCACCAACTCCTTAACCTTAGCTTCACTGTAGTGATGTCCAAGATGCCTCTTGTACTTAGCTAGAATCTCTGGCTTTGCCTCCTCCCTCCTGAGCCTATGTCCCAACGGCGCCTCAACTACGACTTCCTCCAGCACGGTGCCATCGTTAAGTGTTACCGTTAGTGCATTAGGGATCGTGCGCATGTTCTCATTGTGGTAATCCAGTGTGAATTGAGGGTCCTCTACACACTTGATCTTCTGGCGGAGAGACTCAACGAGAGGTGAGGTTGCAGCTTCCCCGCCGTCCGTGTAGTCGGTTGCCTCTAGGCGACCATACACAAGCATAACCGAGGCCATGTATTGGATGCAGTGATCGCGATCGGCGAAGTTGTCCATAGGCTTGAATTGTTTATCGATAATTCGGATACAGGCTTCGTGGGTGCGGCAGGTAATTTCTTTGATGTCGGCTGCGGATTTGCCTTGGTCGGCTAGGGTCTTGTGGATGCGCTTTGCAGCTTCTATTGCGGTTTGGGAGTGGAATTCAGCTAGGATGGTATGTTAGAGGTGCAAATTGGGGAAAATTGGGATGAGTAGTTAGTTACCTGGGTATGAAACCTTGAACAAAACATTCTCCATAACGTAGCTACCATAAGGACGTTGGAATTCAAACTTGTTGCCTTTGAATAAGACATCGTAGAAACCCCAAACTGGAGCAGAAAGAACAGTAGGAACGCCAGGCTCGCCCTTCATGACCTTCAAAACGAGGTTTACAGCCCGCTGGCAAGCATCACCAGCAGCCCACGACTTCCTCGACATGGTGTTCGGCGAGTGTCTATATGTCCGCAAACTCTGGCCATCAACCCAAGCCTGCGAAACCGCATCCGCCGTCTGCTTCTCCGACAGACCCAGCAACTTAGAAACCACAGCAGCGCTAGCAACCTTGACCAGCACAACATGGTCCAAACCGACCTTGTTGAACGAGTTTAGAAGCGCCAAGCAGCCCTGAATCTCATGTGCCTTGATCATAGCCTCCAGGACTTCTTTGACCGTAATAACTTTTCCACTCCCCAGCTTACCTCCGGCACGGTTCGTCCGCGAAATCCAGTCTGCGACCGCCAAAATGGCGCCCAGGTTGTCCGAAGGGTGGCCCCATTCTGCGGCAAGCCAGCAGTCATTATAATCCAGCCAGCGGATCATAGCACCGATATTGAACGCACCGTTCACAGGGTCGAGTTGGAAGGGTGTGCCGGGGACTTTGGTGCCGTTTGGGACGATGGTGCCTTCAACGATTGGGCCGAGCAGTTTCGTGCATTCTTGGAAGCGCAGACCTTCGAGACCGCAGCCTAGAGTGTCGAGGAAGACGAAGCGGGCGGTGTCGAACTGTGAGAAGCTTCAATTGGCATTTTCTTTCTGCGTTGAGGGGTGGGGGAGCTTACTGCGAGATCAGAGTTTATAGGTGTGTGGTGCACGTAGGAAGCAATATCCTTGATCTCGGGATCATACTCGCGGGCTTGCGGTGGGGGAGGAGCTCCCGATTGAAGAGGAGACATGGTGGAGAATTGCTTGAGGGCCGGAGTTGTAGTCGTAGTTGTAGTTCGTGGTGAAGTTCGAGCTGCGGTGAAGGTTGAAAGAGGGGCAAGAGGAGCTCGCGATCTGGCGGGGAAAGGAAGCCGGAGGTTGATGTTCTTACTTGCTGTCGTACGAATGCTGCGTTGGATGGCTGACATTGTAAATGAATCAATGACAAGGAGATGAGGGAAGGGAGAGTATATCTTCAAAGGAATCTCCGTTTCCACGTAGGAACATATAAGTATGTATCCTTTTATTGGATAAGATCTTGCTGTTCTTCCTCGGCCTCCGCTTCTAAAATCCGGTTCAGGACTTTGCCCTTCCCGCAGGTAACCGAGGTTGTACCGGACTGGTGCGTATTTGTACCGAAGTACCCTTACCTAATCATCCATTTAGCGTTCACGTGATAGACGGAATCGCATGGGAGTGATCACCGTGATTACGGAGTATACTGTAGAGAGAAGTGCACTTGTAGTGGGGTAAATGTTGGGGGCCAACGCGCATTTATAATGACTTTTCACTTCTCGTGATATCTTTCTCTTCCCTACTTTACCTTACTTTCAACCGCACCTAGATTCAACGTCCTAATCTAATCTACAACCTTTCACACGATACCTACAAGTATGGCTCTTCAACACGGCAATCCCGCGGACCTCCTCCCCGTCCATTGGAAATCCCAAATTACCGCCTGGTTCGCAGAAGATACCCCATCCTTCGATTACGGCGGCTTCGTCGTCGGCGACAGCGAGCGGACCGCTACCCTCTTTGGTAAATCCAAAGCAATATTAGCGGGCGTACCCTTCTTCGACGAGATCTTCGCACAAGCAGGATGTACTGTAAAGTGGCATCTAAAAGAAGGCGCAGAGGTTGACCCGGGCTCGAAAGGGAAGATAGCTGTTGCGACAGTTACAGGTCCTGTGCGGAAACTGTTGTTAGGGGAAAGGGTGGCCTTGAATACATTGAGCAGGTGCTCCGCCGTAGCGACGAAATCAAGAAACATGGAAGAGTTGGTTAGGAAGGCAGGATATAAGGGCATACTTGCCGGCACAAGGAAGACTACGCCGGGATTCAGGCTGGTAGAGAAGTACGGGATGATTGTTGGGGGTGTAGATGGTCATAGACATGATCTGTCGAGTATGATCATGTTGAAGGACAACCACATTTGGGCGCGGGGTAGCATTACGGAAGCTGTGAAGGCAGCCAAGTCCGCAGGCGGCTTCGCGTTGAAAGTGGAGGTGGAAGTTGATAGCGAGGAGGGCGCGGACGAAGCCATTGCTGCTGGAGCGGACATCATCATGTTAGATAATTTTGATGGAGATGGACTCAAGGTTGCGGCGAGGAGTATCAGGCAAAGATGGGCTGCGAAACGGGAATTCTTGCTCGAGTGTAGCGGTGGCTTGACGTCGGAGAATGTTGGCACATACATTAATAACGGTAAAGTGGATAATGCTCTCAGAAGCCCAACCTCACTAATTTCTCGTTATAGATATCGACATCATCTCTACCAGTTCGATACACCAAGGCGTACCACATGTCGACTTCTCTCTCAAAATCGATCATTAGCAATAAAAACTGTACCACCCAAGACAATTCTTCACCTTATCTGTACCACTTTGAACTTTCACATTGGCATGGGTTGCGATTTGACACTGCCGGAGTTAGGGGAGGCAAAGTGCGGGCGGTAATCTGAGGGAGATATTTCGTCCCGGAGCTAAGGCGGGTGGCGCCTTGAAGTCTAAAACTATGGGGCGAACCCCAGGTAGAGTAATATAACTGGTCTCGATACTATATTGACCCTGCTTATTCTATAGTGGAGCGTCTAGGCGGAAAAATCAGAGCCTCTCAAGTGGCCAGTTCCCTGGGCATCATCGTTGCAATTGTATGTATGTAGCTAACAGAAACCTGGCAGTTTCGAACATCTGGGCGACACGACTCACGATGTAACGAGTATACCTTGCTCATACAGTATGCATACTTCGGAATATTCGGACACCACCTAATAGCTTTTAAATGGCAACTCGCTGTTTTCTTTTCCCTTTCGTTTCAATTTCTCCCAATACAATACCTACGGTTGGAGGTCGACATCTCAAATCAGTATGGCTATTATATCTCCTACTATTCTGGTGGTATCCATCTGTGGTTCTCTTATTATATATGCGATAAGTCGACTTTTACGAGGTAAAGGTAATGGCGGACCACTGCCTCCAGGTCCTAAAGGCCTCCCAATTTTTGGTAACATCAATGACCTGCCCAAGCCAAATGAACAGGCATGGCAACATTGGCTGCAGCATAAGGAACTCTACGGTGCGTATAAACCACAGTTGCAGCCATTTAGTGTTTCACAGAGACCATAGCTAAATATACGCTACGTGCAATTTGTAGGCCCAATCAGCTCTGTTACAGTCCTTGGACAGGCCATGATCATCATCAACGACCCCCAAGTTGCCTTTGAGCTCATGAGAGACCGGTCTACTATTTACTCTTCGCGACCTAGTCAGGTGTTCGCTGGTGATATGTATGCTTAGGCCTGTCACAGTTCTTCTAAGAATGCTAACCTAGTACCTAGTGTCGGGTTCAACAATTCAACTGCTTTCAGCGAATATAATGATACCTGGAAGATCCACCGGAAGAATATAACCAAGGTTGCTAGTACCAATGCTTCCTTAGCAATGTTCGATCGGGTCCAAGAGGCTGAGTCTGTACGGTTTTTGCTCAATCTTTTGGATTCCCCAAATGACCTTTTTGATCACATCCGAAGGTAAGTTCTTGTTACAACCTCTACCAGGTCAAGCATCGCTTCAATCTAACTACTGAACACACAGAGAAGCCGGCAGCGTTATCTTGAAGATTGCATATGGCTATACAACCGAAACCCATGGCCGAGACCCCTTCGTTGACTTGGCGGAAGCCACCATGAAGGGATTCGGTGAAGCGTCAATGCCTGGCAAGTGGTTGGTAGACGTCATTCCTTTCTGTAAGTCTGCGCAATCAAACCAACATAGCACGCCTAACAGGAATAAGTGATGTATCTACCAGAGGGATTTCCCGGTACATCATTCAAGAGCACCGGTCGTCGACTGGCCAATACTTTGAGGCAATGTGTCGACCAGCCGTACGCATTCGTCAAGCAACAAATGCGTGAGAAGAGACATAAAACGTCTTTCTTGTCTCAAGCCATTGAGGACATTGGAGGTAACGCAGATATGGAGTTTGTACACAAGTGGTCGGCGCTCTCCTTGTTCACGGGCGGAGCTGATACGGTATTTGATCTACGCTCAAACTAATAAGGATACTGCTAACTATCCTATAGACTGTCTCCTCCCTGATGACCTTCTTTCTTGCCATGAGCGTGTTCCCTGAAGTTCAGGTGAAAGCCAGAGAGGAACTCGACCGTGTCATTGGAACCCAGCGACTTCCTATCAGCGCAGACCGTGATGATTTACCATATATTATGGCAGTTATGAAAGAGACACATCGTTGGCATCCTGTTGCACCCATGGGTTTACCCCACGCCAGCAGCGCCGAGGACACGTACCGAGACTACAGAATTCCCAAGGGCGCCGTGATGTTGCCCAACACTTGGTATATGCTATGCTTATATATTTCGGAAGCGCCTAGTCACTGACAACAATACAGGTGGTTCACCCACGACCCTGCTATCTATGCCGACCCCATGATTTTCCGCCCCGAACGCTTCCTCGAAACCGAAACGCACAAAGCAGAGCCCGACCCACGTAACGTTATATTCGGCTTTGGCCGCCGTATCTGCCCTGGCCGCTACGTCGCTGACAATGCACTATACATTACTATTTCCCAAACTCTTGCAGTTTTCAACGTCGAGAAGCTTGTTGAGAACGGTCAAGTCGTGGAGCCAGACATCAAGTTTGAGCCCGGCGTGGTCAGTCACCCGGTACCATACAGGATATCGATCAAGCCTAGATCAAAGGTGCATGAGGATTTGATTCGGGCGGTTCAGGGGGAGTACCCATTGGAAGAAAGTGATGCGAAGGAGTTGCAGAACGTGAAGTGGTAGGTGTGCGGTGTAATAGATTCAACAGCAGACAAGAGTATTGATTCCGCAAAACGGGGTTTAGCCAAATATGCTTATAAGCAAGGGGTAGAGTCAATGCGGGATCGCACACATAAATGTCTCTCCTTCCTTCTCTTTCGGTGGGAATAGTGGATTTCTGGGCCATTGGATAGAGATTTATTTCCAGACTATCTGTCACGGTTCTACCATAGCTTCAGTTCAGGTGAAGTGTCCTGATAGTGAACTTGTATACTTTGCACCATCTTGGTCTATACTTTAGCTGCCAGCACTAGGTACCTCCTGTTACTCACGAGAATGGGAAGTGAGCGAAAAAGCAGCATTTATTATTGTCGTCGGCTTTTATTGTCCCACTCCTCCGGGGACATTATAAGTCTGCGTATAAATAGCAGGAAAGATAGGGGGTATTCTTTGCTTTCACTATATAGTTAGTAGGTCCCGTGTTGAGCGAGCCCCCGTGCCCCCGCTGCAGCATTATATACCATATAATTAGGACGCAAATAAAACACATGATTTCTACAATAATTTTTCGGATTCTAGACACAAGCCCGCTAAAATACATTACGCCACTCGTCATTTCCCTTTCTCATTCCCAATGAATTTTCCCGTCCGTTTTTCTTACTCCTTCGTATATCCCCTAACACATAAACTCCCCACCGCCATGCTTTGACGAGTCTACCCAATTGGTGCACATGTAAATGGAGCATGAACAGTACCCTTCTTATACTGATCCATCTATGAATGTATTAGCAATCGCATGTTCCTAATAAATGGCGGCGATATGAAACTTACGATATCAACAATAGCAGCGTATGTTCCAGCCACCAAAGTGATCATACCAATCACAAATACAGCACCGTTAACAATGCTAAGCAACAGGTTTTCCTTGGCGTACCACTTCCCTTTCTTGATAAGCATGAACCACATCATCGCAGGGAAGTAAAAGGTAAAGCCCGAAATGAACAAGGCGGACATGATAGATAGAAGATCCGAGAAGAAGGGGATGGCTTCAGCGATAACGAATGCGATGATAGTGAGAAAGGCGAGCAGTGCCAACCACGTAATCCACCCCTTTTTCGTATTGATAAACCGAACAACCGAGTCCTTGTACATACGACCGTGGAGGTAACGAGCAACTACGGTGCCGTTGATAGAGCCTGAGATGAAAATGACAGGCAAAGCAACTCCAAATGCGATCTTGGATACCGTCGGACCTGCTGAAAGCAGAGCGGGGGACTGAACGTCCTGGCCGACAAATGCGTAGATGAGGGCACCAGTGAGGGTGTAGATGAAAATCTCAAGTATTCCTAGTGACCAGATCGACTTGATAAAATCTTGCGGGCGGTGCATCTCATCCATGAAAGAGAACTGACAGATTGAGAACGAGTACGCAAAAACAATATTGGTAATCGCGACGAAAGCCTCGGCGAAGGTGACGCCTTCCTTGGGCCATGCCGACCAATTGGTAGCTACTGTGGCATTTCCAGATGATATTCCGGTGGCGATGATGGTGATTCCAATGGCAAGCATGATAGAGACGAAATCGATATAGCCCAGAATAGCTACCTCGGCGAACGATGGAGGGATGGCTACGAGGAATAGGATGACAGCAGCCACAAAACCGAAGACGACTGAGCAGGCACCATTGGCACTTAGGTTGAGAAATGCGATTGTGGCAGTCAAACTGGTGATTGAGATTAATACATCTTCCTTGCAATCGTCATGAAATAATGTACGTACCAATGCGATCCTACCAGGAAAACCAGTTGCAGCGTGAACATGGCGCCAACCAGCTCGTAGCCAAATCTCCCCATCAGAAGTCGTCCCGCATCAGCATAATGAGCCACTTTAGGAAACTTCAGCTTGACCTGTCCGACGACATAACTGGTGTAGATAGCAATCAATCCAACCCCAACAGTCAAAATGACACCAGCCACCATTCCAAGCGTAGCAAACGCCGAGGGAATAGACAGTGCGCCCAATGCAATTGCCTCGACTAACAACACCACGGTCAATCGTTTCCAGCCCAGACGCTTGAAGTGTGCAGCTCCCTGCGCTTCTAACACTCCGATTTCCCCAACGATGTCATCTTTGGCACCGTCGCTTCCAAAGCGATGCGAATCAGAGGAACTGGTCTTGTCATCGTACTTATTCCCAACGCTTTTCTCGTTGTCGTTGTCCACCACTGGAGCGGTGGTGATGCTGTTGTCGAAGGGGGCCATGACTAATGGTGTTGGAAGATGAAGATGAAGATGTGTAAGAGAAATGAAATGGAGAGTGTGTGGAATTAGCCCTCTTTAGCACCCGCCCGAGAAGCGACCTTTAAACATGACAACTCTAGTTCCGGCAGAAGTACCAGAGTCCCTCATGGAGTTTGGTACCGGTGACACCGCAGACTTAGGTAAAGAGGGTGGACACATCGGAAGAAGGATTTTATGGATTTCTGGTCTGAGTGGACTGTGAGGACTCGCGACAACCACTCAGAAAGGGATGATTTGCGTGTAGAGATTCGCGCGCTCCGATGTGTCCTCCGTGGGGTCGCCATGGAAGAAAGCGGACCTTCTTTCCTTCCCAGATGATGCGTTTTTTCTTGACACAAGTTAGGAAGGAAGGATTAGTGGGCACTTGTAGAAGCCTCAAGTTACGTAACGGGGGATCACTTAAGCGCGGACTGTGATGAAGTCGTGTTTAGTCAGCAATCCGAGCACGTTGTTCTAGATGCATCGAGTTTCCATATGAATGTAGCGTCAAGTTGATGACGTGAGGATATATATATCTTCAACAATCACCCATCCGGTGCTTTTAGCTCTGAGGTCTTGGCTGTATGAAGCAAAGCAAAGTATGTTGTAGCCTAAGGTACTCGAGGACCTCGGGTTACCTGCATGATTAGCCCTTAACGCGTGATTTAGGCGAAAGCTGCATGACATTTCCCAGAGAGCCAAGTGCGGGGTGACGGCACGGCTTGCGGCATTGATACGGTATACTTACAGTACCGAGTACTTTGTAATTTCTTGTAATCTTACTGATACGTGCAGTGCCTGGTAGACCTATGTACTTGTACCTAAGGTATTGATTGATTGCTTCTACTGGGCGCTGCCCATACTCCGTAGCTCTTTGGAGCATCACATCTGAGTTTCAAATGGCTTAGTAGAATGCGCTACGGAATAATCGAGTGCATTGCAGATCCACCTACACGACGGTACGGTAAAGGGAAACGATCTGCTATACAGGAGCAAGCGGCCTTGACGATATTGAGGGTTTTAACTCAATCACCGGATCCTCCGTATTACTTCGTACCTAAATTTATCTCAATCTTTTGTACCTACTTTTGCTAGTTGTAAGTCTGAAACATTCCTTTCCGACAACATAGAATAATCAACTCAATCTAGTAAGGATTTACTCGTAACGTACGAGTTGATGAGCAACATACTCGTAATGGAGACTTATTACAGTATTGCTATACGGAATACTCCGAACGCCGCTCTCGGCTTAAATACTACGAAGTAAAGGTAACTAGTAGTAAAGGAATAACATATGCACATTACTATTTATTTACGGGGTATTGTCTTGGGGTCTTTTTCTCAGCCCTGCGCCTCCCAACCCAACTCTATAATTGATTGCAAACAGCTTGTACTCCGTAGATGACTCGGAATTCAAGGTAACTTCGGTATTCCTGCAATATTGTAATATTGTAATACCTTATGGCCAAAGGAACATATAGCGAATACTATCCCAAAAGACTACCCAGGTAGCTATTAGTCGATTGATTCCAGTCCTCGTGACCAAAGGTTTGAGTGAATTCGTCGCGACGCGTCGGTGACATCATTGTCATCTGAATTTCCAGTTCAACTTTACAACCAATTCCCAATCATCCATAGAAATGCCCTCAGAAACGGTTGAAATGTCCCATGCAACCCGCGATATCTTATTGAGGGTCAGGAAGATGATCCCGCCTATGCTCGACAAATTCCACAAAGGTAGCCCTCAATCATCCCACCACGATACCTCTCTAACCCTTCACCATAGGACAGATGGGCCGCATAGCAGTAATAGGAGGCAGCGAAGACTACACCGGCGCCCCTTACTTCTCTGCCATGGCTTCTGCTAAGCTCGGGGCCGACATGGTACTCCCCTCCCCCCTCCCAATTCCATCTGTCGAAAGCTAACTTGTCTTACTTCCCAGAGCCATGTAATCTGTGAACCGCAGGCAGCACAGGTAATCAAAACCTACTCCCCAAACCTAATGGTGCACCCACTCATGCGACAATCCTCGCACGCCTCTGCCGAAACAACCTCGTCTTCCATCGCCGCCACCATCATCGACATGCTACCCCGCCTACATGTCCTCGTTATCGGGCCTGGATTAGGAAGAGATACACTTATGCAGGATACATGCGCGCACGTAATCAAAGCAGCGAGGGAGAAGAAGATGCCGTTTGTGCTGGATGCTGATGGGTTAGCTCTGGCGCAGTCGAAACCGGAGCTGGTGCAGGGATATAAAGAGTGCATTTTGACGCCGAATGTAGTTGAGTTTGGGAGGTTGTGTAAGAGTCAGGGGATTGATACCAAGGGGCTGGGGGATGCGGAGGGAGCGGAAAAGCTGGCGAAGGCATTTGGAGGTGTTACGATTATAAGGAAGGGGAAGGAGGATTATGTTACTAATGGAGAGAAGACGTATATTAGTGATATTGAGGGCGGGTTGAAGAGGAGTGGGGGACAGGGGGATACGCTGACGGGGAGTTTGGCTACGTTTCTAGGGTGGAGAAAGGCATATTTGGATGGGTTGTGGGAGCATGAGGGGGATTTGGATGAAGTGGAGTTGCTGGCTTTGGCTGCTTTTGGTGGTAGTGCTCTTACGAGGGTGCGTTGTTCTATTATTTGGTGGTGGTGACATCTTGCTGACTTTTATAGGAATGTTCGAAACTGGCTTTCTCGAAGAAAGGACGGAGTATGCAGGCAAGTGATTTGACTGAAGAAGTTCATGTTGCATTCATAAACCTCTTTGATGAGCCAACGCCAAAATTGTAATCGTAAAATGAAGATGGATTGGAATATAGCAAGATGTATACTTGGGAATGTGGAGGCCGTGACATGTATGGATGTATACGGTTCTTGGTCCTTTCGTTAAACTGATTAATAGACAAAGGGAAAATAAAAGTGAGTGGAACGATAATGTTGGTGCCAAGTACCAGATGGACCAATTTAGTGTAGCAGGTACGCATACAAGTTATACCAGATGAAACTAAACTCGGTAACGTCCTCCTACCTGCGCTTGAAAAGGAGACGTCTCCCTGTTATTCACCCTAACCTTCCACTCGATCGAGTAATGTATGAAACTTGGAGGATCTTCAATATATATCCTCCTTTCATCCTATAGTCGAGGCTGACAAAAGCCAAGCTTGCCCACCTCTTGCAGTTGTGGTTGTGTTTGTTGCTGGCTAGAAATATCTTCATCGAAAGGATCCCAGAGTCCATAATCGAATGATTCGGGGAAAGGGGAGGGACTGCCCATTGTCGTCAGGGAGGAGGGTTTCAACAGGGGAAAATACCCGGATTCGTTCTTGAGGTATTGTGGTCAATGTGCCGGGAAAGCAACGACGCTGGCAGATGCTAGCAGACGCTGTCCATGCTATAGCCTAGCTATTCATCGGAGCCTTCCTCAATTGAGGCGTTAGGGGCCTGCAGAAATCAAGTCGGTGACTACCTCGAAATGATTGCACCTTGATCGCAAACTATAATGGGATCATGGCAGACGTGATCGTGATACACATTTGCAAGCTAGCAGCGCTTGAAGAGCAGAATGCAGATCCTGCTTGGATTGATTTGTATCATCAATGCGCGTTATGAAATCTAGTTCCGATACTGCGAGCTCAACTGTATTGATACGAGAATATGGAAAGGCCCTATCATTATGTTTTTGTCCTGCCGCACGATACGGAGTAGTCCTCCTTGGCCTTCCTACCTCCTAATATTGCCAAGAGCCAGCAGCCCGGCCAGGACACTCATTTACTAGAACGGCAGGTAGAAAGCAGATTCTGCCTCCTAGAGCTCTGTTATCCATTTTATTATCTCTTGAGATGCTCCCTCAGTAATAGGAACATACCATTATCAATTTCGAATATTCTGGGCCAGTTACGATTTCCTGCAGTAAGCGCTGCAGGTCTTACGCGCTCGCAATAATGCACAACGATGCCTATATTGCCGCGAGGCGCTGGAAGCTGACTGCGCCTTTCTCAATCTCACCTCCTCTCCCGATTCAATAAACAATTTTGCATATATGCCCAGTTGACGGTTCTATACTTCGCGAGAACCTTTTCCCGCAGATCTCAAATCCAGTCGAATGATGCGCCTACTAGCATATAACAGCGATAACGAGTTCAGCCTAGCCAGCTTTGTCGGCGACGACATTCCGCGGTATGCTATCCTTTCGCACACATGGGGAACAGAGGAGGTTACTTTAGCAGATCTGAGGGATGGCAACGGCAAGAAGAAGGCTGGTTATAGCAAAATACAGTTTTGCGGAGAACAAGCTAGTCGTGACGGCTTGCAATACTTTTGGGTGGATACCTGTTGTATCGACAAATCGAATAGTACAGAGCTTGCAGAGGCTATTAACTCTATGTTTCGCTGGTACCAGAATGCGACGAAATGTTATGTCTACTTACCAGATGTTTCGAGACCCGCCTTCGGTACGACCGACAAGTCTAACGACCTACCATGGGAAGTAATGTTTCGGCAAAGCAGGTGGTTCACTCGAGGTTGGACCTTGCAAGAGCTTATTGCTCCGTCATCACTTGGCTTCTTCTCGAAGGAGGGGGAACTACTAGGTGATAAGGTATCCTTAGAACGACATATCTGCGAGATAACAGGAATTCCCGCCAAAGCTTTTCGAGGAAGCCCGTTATATGATTTCAGCGTCCACGAACGAATGTCATGGGCAGAAACTCGTGAGACGACTTGTAAAGAAGATGAGGCATACTCGCTACTGGGCATTTTCGACGTCAATATGCCGCTTATCTATGGGGAAGGGAAAGAGAAGGCATTGAAGCGACTCAGGGAGGAGATCGACAAAGCTTCAAAAGGTAGGTTCTTCTTTTCTGTTATAAGCACTAGGTGTTAGGAAGCTGCTAACCAAAATAGGGATTAAGTATGAGGACTTCTCAGTCGCCTTTAGTCTCTCTTATGTTTCTGACATCGAAGATTTCGTGGCCAGGGAGGAAGAGCTCGTAGATATGCATAGGATCTTGCTTAGCGACGGTTCCCGCCGAACAACTGTGCTTCATGGCCTGGGCGGAATCGGCAAGACACAACTTAGTATTGCATATGCAAAGCGGCATAAAGTCAATTACTCGGCAATATTCTGGTTAAATATCAAGGACGAAGATTCTCTGAAGCAGAGTTTTGCTAAAATTGCCAGGCAGATATTGCGAGAACACGCCTTGGCTAGCCAGTTCAACAACGTGGATACGCAAGGAACCCTTGACGAGGTGGTAAATGCTGTCAAGGCATGGCTGAGTCTGCCTAATAACACGCGATGGCTGATGATTTACGACAACTACGACAACCCAAAATTACCAGGAAACACGGATCCTATGGCCGTAGACATCCGAAAATATCTCCCCGAGTCATATCAAGGTTCAATTATCATTACAACGCGGTCGTCGCAAGTCAGAATAGGATATCCAATCCAAATTCGAAAGCTAGGGAATATGCGGGACAGTCTCAAGATTCTATCAAACGCATCAAGACGGGAAGGACTGGAAAATGGTAAGGACGTTCTAGACTTTTATGCTGCAGCCCTTAACCTAAATATTAGACCCCGATGCCATCAAGCTTGCGAAGGAGTTAGACGGACTTCCTCTTGCACTAGCTACTGCTGGAGCATATCTTGATCAAGTAGCGATCAGTCTTTCGACCTATCTTCGCCTGTATAAAGAGTCATGGATGCAACTCCAAAAGTCGAGTCCTGAACTGAGCTCATACGAAGACCGAACGCTCTACTCTACGTGGCAGGTTTCATTTGATCATGTTAATCAACGAAATGGCCTTTCGGCTAAGCTTCTTTGCTTTTGGGCGTACTTCGATAGCCAGGATATCTGGTTAGAGCTTCTTCAGCACAGTGACTATGACGACCCAGACTGGGTACGACAGCTAGCCGAAGACCAAGTAAGCTTCCATCAAGCGATGCGTGTACTAAGTGGCCATGGACTTGTGGAGGTAGCCACGCCTTCCTACGAATTGATCGAGTCACAAGGGTACAGCATGCATGGGTGTGTTCACTCTTGGATTATCAACGTCCTTAATAAATCGTGGGACTATGATATGGCTAGGCTTGCTGTAAAGTTTACTGGATCACATGTCCCGGGAGAGCAGGCTGTTCAGCCGTGGCTAACACAACGACGGCTTCTCCAGCATGCAACGAGATGTTTATATATGTTTTCGAACAGCTTGGTGGTAGCCGATGAGCTAGCAGATGAATGCC